AAAAAGAAGAAAGAAAAAAATGGTTAGTACCGTTCCAAAAGAAATAATTAACAACACACCCATAAAAAACTTACCACAAGTCTGTTTCGAGAAAAGTTCAAGCTGATTCCTAAAAAAAATAATGGTTAGTACCGTTCCAAAAGAAAGAATTAACAACCCATCTATAAAAACTTACCACAAGTCCGTTTCGAGAGAAAGTCCAAGCTGATTCCTAAAAAAAGAAAGAAAAAAATGGTTAGTACCGTTCCAAAAGAAATAATTAACAACACACCCATAAAAAACTTACTACAAGTCCGTTTCGAGAAAAGTCCAATCCGATTCCTAAAAAAAAGAAGAAAAAATGGTTAGTACTGTTCCAAAAGAAAGAATTAACAACCCATCTATAAAAAACTTACCACAAGTTCATTTCGAGAGAAAGTCCAAGCCAATTCCTAAAAAAAAGAAGAAAGAAAAAAATGGTTAGTACCGTTCCAAAAGAAATAATTAACAACCCATCCATAAAAAACTTACCACAAGTCCGTTTCGAAAGAAAGTCCAAGCCAATTCCTAAAAAAAAGAAGAAAGAAAAAAATGGTTAGTACCGTTCCAAAAGAAATAATTAATAACACAACCATAAAAAACTTACCACGAGTTCGTTTTGAGAAAAGTCCAAGCTGATTCCTAAAAAAAAAAAATAGTTAGTACTGTTCCAAAAGAAAGAATTAACAACCCCACCCATAAAAAACTTACCACAAATCCGTTTCGAGAGAAAGTCCAAGCTGATTCCTAAAAAAAAGAAAAAAGAAAAAAATGGTTAGTACCGTTCCAAAAGAAAGAATTAACAACCCACTCATAAAAAACTTACCACTAGTCTGTTTTGAGAAAAAGTCCAAGCCAATTCCTAAAAAAAAAAAAGAAAGATAGTACCGTTCTAAAAGAAAGAATTAACAACCCAACTATAAAAAACTTATCACTAGTCCGTTTCGAGAAAAAGTCCAAGCCAATTCCTAAAAAAAAGAAGAAAAAAAAAATGGTTAGTACCATTTCAAAAGAAGAATTAACCCGCCTACCTATAAAAAACTTATCGTAAGTTTGCTTGAAAAGTCCAAACTGAATCCTAAAAAAAGAAAAGAAAAACAGAGTGGCTAGTACCGGTTCAAAGAAAAATATTAAACCCACTTTGAAATGGCAGTTCATAACTTGGGTA